GGTGGTCCATCCCATTTCCTCCAAACCTGGAAAGCGATACTTATTTTCCCCTTATTCGCTTGCCGTGATGAGGATACATAGGTCCAATTTACAGGGCACAACGTTCCCTAAACTTGCAGCTATTACGAAAAGGTTTTGACGACTTTCGTATTCATTACTGCACTAGCAATACTTTTAACTAATGAACCATGTTGCCTTTCATGAGCCTGGCATTAGGAGAGAAAGTTGTTATACCCTGACTTTGCCTGCTTCGGCCGTATTATTCGATCCCTTGTTCGCGCTCTTCGAGATATCCACATGCTACCATCAGCATTGCTTAGCTATGCTCAGATTTTACGTATTTCAAAATTTGTTGTATATGCTTTATCATATCACTCCTGTTATGTGATTTTTACCAATTGCACTGTGACGCTTTCATTTTTGCACAAGCTTTTGAATATAAGCGCTTTTGTAGTGCGTTTTATGTTATACAATCTTGTTTTTGTTATGCTGTCAAATTAAATTCATGGAAAAAAGTCAATATTGCACTATTGTATGCTGATAATCTGTACGGGCAATTTCAAAAGTTTCTATTTCAATTTCAAGTCTCTATTACTTTAATATTGGTCAACAGTTTCGACACAACGTTCGGAAATCTTGGAGAAACCATTTAGCAGTCTGATGAATGAAATCAACGGTTGACGTTTCGAACCATGCTATGCATACTGTCGGAGAACCAGTCGAGATTTGATGTGTATGTCGGAAATGCAATCTGTGGATTTACCATACTGGAATATATGGACAGCTTCTGGTGTATGTGTGATTCTTCAGAGTGATAATCCGTCCATGTCGACATGTGCCGGTCAGTACCAGCACAGACTGAAATTTATTCACATTTCCCTCCAAACAACTGTGAACTGAAACTGCATATTTGTCGTTCAGCCCAAGTCGGCAATACAATGGCCATAATGAATTATTACAATCCTAACTCTCTACTTGAGCTTCAGTACTAATGGCTGAATGCTCAAGTTTATGGCATGGCTTTTATGTCGGCAGTCTTATGCAATAAGGCGGCAAAATTACCCACTGCAAGTCCGACTGACTGACTGAAAGTAAAGCACATTCTGTTCATACCAGTACCAACGGTACTACGTAAATTTACCTTGTAGCATTCGCTGCACTGCAGTGAATTATGACTATTGATGAACAGACAGTCCTCGTCTAAGGAAGCTACCGTACTCTGCACTCCAAAAAAATTGTGAAAACGGGGAAATCCCGGAGAAAGATTTAGAGGTAGCAATTACAGCGTACCATAACGAAAAAAGAACCCATTTAAAAATGGGCACCATTTAATAATAACTCAAAAGTGGATGTCATTTGTGATATTACAATTACAATCATATTAGTATTGAATCAAGGTGGTGAAAATTCGTCACGCTTTGTGTACATTTTATCTGACACATGTTTCTCTTTTTCCAACAGTATAAGAGCAATACTGTTGTGGTGTTCTTCTTCTCCTTCCATTTTTACTCCTCTCCATCATTCGTGTTTTCTTCACCATTCTTATTCAAATTACATTATGCTTGCAGGTGTCACCTATTTACGGCGTTTGTAAGAGTATCAGCCTTATTTTTTATACACTATTATGCATAAATATGGTACACTGTAGATACATATATGTTTTGAACCAAAAGCCATGAAAAACGAGTCGTAAAAGTCAGTACGTTACATGGAAAATTGCGTCATTCCTTTTTCGCAAAGACGTAGCTGGCCATTTAAGCAAGCCAAAGCTTCATGACATTTTGAGATCGGCGTGTGTGAATGGACTGCTACATCACGGAATCGGCTCGAAAAACAAGCGCCTCCGTCTCATCAGTTGGCAAAGTCGTGTGGTTTGAGGAACGTACATGCTTATTGTGTCTATATAAATTCTTGTAACTCATTATGATGATGCAGAAAGTAGCAATCTGCCTCTGCTTTCCGAATGGATAAGTCATCGAAATTCACTGATTGACTGATTTACTTATTTATTTACTTGCCTGCTTACTTACCTACCTGCCTATTTACTTACTCACTTACTTACTCATTTACTTGCTTACTTACTTAGTTACGTAGTTACTTAGTTACTTACTTACTTACTTACTTACTTACCTACTTACTTACTTACTTACTTACTTACTTACTTACTTATTTACTTACTTACCTACTTACTTACTTACTTACTTACTTACTTACTTGCTTACTTACTTACTTACCTATTTACTTACTTATTCATTTACTGAGAGAGCAGTATATCTATTCTTGATCATTGTATATATTTATTTAAAAGGAAACAGTCAGCACAGAGAGTAACCCCTCTTGTTTCCCTGCATTTACCTCATTTCTCTCCTTGATGAATTGTCAAATCGTCAAGCGATTCAATTTTGTCAGTAGTTTTCGGCCTACATTGCAAGTTTTCGATACTACTATATGAAATAGCGAGACGG